TAATGTTTAGATAAACATACCACTTTCATAACTGCCTAATATATTGAACAACCAAACCTGCATTGAATTTACATGGGATTGCCAATTTGCTTGCCATTACTAAGATAAGAGTTGCTACTTGTTTTCTCTTTTATTTCAAATATGGATGCTGCATTTCAAGCCAAAAATAAAGTCATCAATCTGAGCTTGCTGTCAATTGATTGGAAGAGGAAGGCCATAAATTTGGCAAAGAACTAGCCTAATTGTAAAGGGGCCAGCCAACATTAAGATTGTCAAGCCCAGGATTTTGAATTTGACTCTGAAGAAGCTGTTGCAGGTGAACCAGTGGACTTTCAACCTCAGGAAAAACAAGTTAGGAATCACCCAAGGCTGATTAAAAACTGGTGCTATTGAAACAGCTGGAATAGTGAAATTATGATATACAGTTTCCAAGCCCTCAGACTTGGAGATTAGAGCAGAGAGCAGAGCAAAGATATTCAGTGAGGCTCCTTGCAAGCAAAGAAGTAAAACTCTTAAGGTATTTGGCTGCAGAATGATTTAAGAGGCAGCCCTGATTCATCAATGGATTTGCCTACCCATGGACTAAGGCAAGGCTTAGCAATTGAAACATTTTTGATAGATTAAATGTGACAGAGAAGTTCTATTTGTAGAATGTCATAACAAATTGCATAATAAGGAAAGTCAAAAAATCAAGGGCGGATTAAAGTTATTGAGGAGTAGAAACCTATGACCAGTATTTTGTTTGTATTTATTAGATGCATATCTGTTAGCAATTGTTTAAAGTGAAATCGATTATAAAAAAGTGTGGAATGCATTTTACACATATTTTCATAAATGAATAGAAGAGAGTCAAATATAGTTTTATGTTTTGGTAAAAATAGGGATGGGCATTTCTCTCTTTTGTTTAACATGTAAATAGTGGATAATTGGTGTATTGCAAAACAAAGCATTCAACTCTAATAAATCCCATAGACATTCCTAGAAAATGAAAAATGATAAGTAGTTGCAGCTCAGTTTCTTTTAGAATGTATGAAACTGTCCAGAGAAAAAGTTGGATGGTGATGTCACATTGTAGAAGGGTTGTTTTGTGTGTGTGCCTTCAAGTCAGTGTTGATTCTTGAAACCTATCTGGATTAGTTCCTATATGTTTTCTTGACATTTTTGGGAGTTGGTTAGCCCTTCTTCCTAGGATTGAGAGAGGGGGACTAGCTCAAAGTCATAAGTCTATGCCAATGGTGATGCCAAAGGCAGAACTCGGAGCCCTCTCTGTGGGTACACGTGCCGTTGCCCCAGCCTTGCCTCCCCCATGACCCCCTTATCTCCAGCAGCCCCCCTGAAGGAGAGTCACCCCCGACGTGGCCCACACAGAGCAGTGCAGCCAAGGACATGGCAGCCAGGCAGTGTAGACAAGACTCTGCCCTCACACCCCATCATGCAGTTGATGCTGCAGGGCGCGGTCAGAGGGTGTGGCCGCCATAGCGCTGCTGGGCTGCCTGGGCAATCTGCGGTGGGCCCTGGAGGCAGTGAGTGGTCCTGTGGGCAGGTGGGGTGGGGGATGGGGGCAGAGTGGGAGCGGGGCAGGGGGGTGGAGCAGAGGCAGGGCCAGTTTTGGGGCACTCGGTCTCTAAAAGGTTCACCATCACTGGTCTATGCTAAAGGAAGGACTAGAACTCATGGTCGCCTGGTTTTTAGCTTGGTGTCTTAACCATTAAACCAAACTGGCTCACTGGTAGAAGCTGGGAAGTCTGAAACCGAGCAACTCCCTCAGTTTGTCTTCTGATAAATTCCTCTAAGAATAGATAATCTCCTGTGGTGGCCATGAAATGCTGTCAAAATAGAAAAGTGACCTTAAAATCTTGTCCAGTATATCTCTTACCCTTTTCATATGACACAACACATTGTGCCATTGTACAATGAAGCTATAAACAAGATTGTACTCCAAGAATCCTTTCACGCTACACAAAGGTCAGAAGAAAGCATTGTTCACTGCCACAATTCTCTACATTTTATTCTATTTCCGTTCAGATAAAAAGGAATGTTATGTGTGAGAATGCTAATTTTTTAAAATGTGCTTCAGAAGAACCAGACAAATAAACAGATTTGGCCATAATAGAAGGAAGTCTTGTTTAGAAGAACTCTGTGAGACTGACTTTTTTTTTTTTAAATGAAGCTGTTTTTGGACTTTTTCTTATGAACACTCCAATAGAATATTTCAAAATGGCAACTTTAAAAAACACTGAATATTTTTACAAATTTAGAAATCAGTCTGGGGATAAGGAGCATATATAAACATCAGGACTATTCTGTTTAGTTTTGTGCTTTTCCCTCTCTACTTATCCATTGGAGTTTGGTGGAATAAAGAATTTTATCAATATTAAAAAATGAATAGCAATTGGGCAAGATCTTCAGGAAAATATTTTAAAAAATCTAAAAGATTAGAATAAGCAATTTTATTTAAGCTATTTTATTGTATACTATGCCAGTCCTATTTCTGGAACATATTGATTGTATTTGTACATCTTTGCCAGCCCTTGAGCTAACCAGATGTTACTTACTTAAACTTTCATCATTTTGCACAAGAAATCTACTTAATTATGCCTTGAAGATGTTCAACAAAAACTACTGTATTAGAACACTACATTTCATTTAATGTGTTGCTCTATCAACTATCTGAATTCCAACTTTATACCAAATATAATAAAATGCATCCTATTAAATCCAAAGTTTTATCATGTCAATAACTGAAGAATCAAAGAGTGACTTATTTGAAAGAATGTGCAGTCCAGAGCCACTGTCCTTTATTCCAGGATTTCATCTCAGGGCATGGGGTTTTCATTCTTCAAATGTCATCGCTATTAAAGAGATACATTAATTTCCAAACCAGCAAATATGATCAATATCAAAGCTTCATTCCTGTTCTTTTAATTTGTCTAGGTTTTAAAAAATGTAGCTCTATAACTGCACACTTCCATTTGAGTAATTGTGATTAAAACCAACCAACCATCTTCTAGCTTACACTACATAAAATGTTATTGAAATTTTGGAAACAGATAGATCTACTTTAGCATTATTTTGGTTATTATAATTCAGATGTATTTGTGTACAAGGCACACAAATAGGTGCACTTACACATTATAAACCTAAGAATTTAAAGCTTCCAGAGTGACTTAGTGAATGTTAAAATTTCCATATGATAGTTTCTGTGCATTTTAATGCATTCTACAGTATTTGAGGATCTGCCAATCTATCTGAATTTATTTTGAATGGCAGCACATCTGCCAAATGTCCTGGTTGATTTACTCTATGGACAACTTTTAATTAGCATTCAGTATATGCATCTGCAGACAAGATTAACTGACAGTGTCCATTGGGTACAAAAGTATTTTTGGCTTTAAATCTTCAATGATAATACAATTAATTCATGTTATTGGACATATGTGTGCTAACATTAATATTTACACAACAGAACTAGTGCTCCCTATTAAAATCATTATTAATTGCTTGGTGTTAGATTGAGAAATAATGTCAGAGACTATTTTTTTCTAACATGCTATAAAACACAGTGAACCCTCAGTTTAATTAACCATTTAGGGGAGGATGTGCCCATTACTATGTGTATTATATTCAGTACATCCTTTGCATCAACTACATAATTTGCACACATTTATTATTATGCAAATGATGCAAACTGAGGGAAATAATGCAAATTCCTTAATTTATGGGTGATATCTGAATAGAAAATTGTCAACTATGGAGAATCTTCTAAATTGATTTGTGGTAAATGGATAGGACTGGAGCAACTAAAAAATTAGATATAGATATTGAAAAAACATTAGGGGTGCTACCTGGTAATCTGGAAAATTGGGAAGGGTGGTTTTTTTTTTTTTGTTGTTGTTGTTTTTTAGATAGCAAATGATACCAGAAAGAAATCTGGGTAGACACATAGATACTAATAACTCTAAAAAATGCTCTTCCGGCCTAAAAAAAAAAAAGATATTCAGAAAATCCAGAGTAATACAATAATAATGTCCAGGAACAAAATTAGCTCTGACTTGCACCAACGAGTGCCTTTTTATTTATTTGGTTTAAATGTTAGGATATATTTAAAAACAGTTAAACAGAAAAATAAATTAAATGAAATAGAAAAAAATGGAACCAATATAAGTTTTAAATTTATGCAAAAAAGTTGGGCTGTAGCAGTATATTTATTTAAAAGCAAATACGTTAAATTTCTTGATTGAACTGACTTTTCAAACTGAGTCAAAAATTATTTTGAAAATTTAAGTCAGATACAGCCAACTTGGATGATATGAACATTTCAATGGGTGTGCAGAAATGATTTTCCCCAATGGATATGGAAATCCGTATTGAATTAACCCTATTATTCAATTTGAACATCCAAAGGTATGTATTTGCAAGTGAGATCATTAATAATGTGCTGCTATTAGAGCCAGATAAATCCCAATTTGTCAAATTATGCTAGGTTACAACCTAATTTATAGAGAATTACTAGTGTCATAAGACTTGATTTGGAAAGCATCATTAGTGAAAATATTTGATAACATAAGTTGGGTTAATGTGAAAATGTGAGATATGCCATAAGAACAGCAGAGAAAATGAACATCAGGAAGTTTTATCAATGAATAAAATGGTTTTCAACAATTCAACAATGGGCATATACAATTGAAAAGAAAACCTTCTCAAGTTATTCCTAGCTATCAGAAAGCATTTTATCATGTCTTGCTGGAAAAACATTGCAAAACTGGGTTGTGGTTAAATGGCTTAATGTTTACTTGTCAATGATCTATGATGTAAAGCTTTAGTCTAGTAATGGTGGTATGAGATGGCAGTCAGATGAGAAACATGTGATGGATGGAATTTATGGCTATGGAATAACTCCTATTCAAGAATGCTGCTGTCTCAGCCCTAAAACACCCACCCACGTAAGTACATGCAACATTTCAAATCAAGACAGCACTAATGATTATTTTCTTCTGCAGGTACAGAAAGAAACATGTGCTGTCAGCGAAAGAGTTGCTATTTCTCAGAGTAGGTGAAGGCAATATGTTGTGAGGAGAAATTCACTTCTTGGCTATAAACAAGATTTATTCCAAATTGTTTTTTTCACAGAAACTTATTCTTACTTCCAATTTGTAATGTTTATAGTTTCTGAAAATGTCTGCTATGATATCTCTATTAGAAATGTGGTTTGAAAATGATAGCCCTGATTCCAGCAGGGAGATATTAATTTTCTGTTAGTTCTAGAATTCAGAGAATAAATCCTGCCATTTTTCAAACTAAATATTGAACACACTGCACCAAAACATTACTTTCATCTAATTGTGCATTAGTGGCAGATTGCCTTGACAATTTCAGTTTAGTGAATAGATTACACCAAACCAACCATATTGTCAGATATGTTAATCAAGTCAAATATGATAATGCAGTTATTTTACATTGATTGTTCCTAGATAAATTAATATTCTTCTTCATGGATTACTTGTTGTGGTGAAAGGGCTTGCATAATTCAATGAAGCTATGAGCTATGCCATGCAGGGCCACCCAAGACGGACAGATCATAGCAGAGAGTTCTGACAAAATGTGATCCACTGGAGAAAGAAATGGCAACCCACTCCAGTATCTTTGCTATGAAAACCCCATGGACAGTGCCAAAAGGCAGATGGTAGAGGATAGGAAGACCTGGAGGAATGTTGTCCATGGGGTCGCAATGGGTCAGACACGACTCCGCAACTAACAACAACAACAAAATTAATATTCCCCAATGCACTTTTTAGTGAGGAACAATTTACCACAAAAAAGAATAAAGGACCCTATCAGTATTTGTGAATAAATGCCACTGCTTCTTTCTACTTTGCATATTTAGGGAATATTATAACTTTATTACTGTATATCAAAAGAAAGCATGAAGTATAATGTATTATCAGGTTTATTAATTACAAAAGTGAAAATTATATATTTGTTTATTTTTACAATTTATCATTGTATGTAAGAAAACTGTTTCTTCCAAAAGTTTAAGACGGTCTTTGTATCTGACATTTGTCCTCTTTACCTTTGCATATTCACAATAACATATAGAAAAATTAAAAGAAGTAACTCAGCCAAGGTATTTTATAAAAATTTGAATCTGGGACTTTCTGGTTCTAACAGGTCACATTAACTACTATCCCACTTGACTAATTCTTATAGAGGCAGCCCTTGACATACGACTATTCGATTAACAACCATTTAAAATTATAACATTCTTGAAAAAGGTAACTTACAACTGGTCTTTGCACTTAAAACTAACTTTGCATCATCCTCTGATTATGTGATCAAAATCTGGGCCCTTGGCATGTATTCACAATGGGTTCAGGATCCTGAGGTCTTGTGATCACCATTTCTGACCTTCCCAAGGGTCTTACAACAAGCAAAGTAAATGGGGGAAACCTGGATTTGCATAATGACTGCATGATTTGCTTAACAACTGTGTCAAAAATATGGTAAAATAGGGCATGAATCACTTAATGGTCATTTTGCTTAGTGACAGAAGTTGTGGTCCCAGTTATGGTTATAAGTTGGGGATCAACTGCCTGCCTGTCTCAGATTAAAAGTCCTATGTTTCTATTAAGATACAAAAGATTTTAAAGCTATCTAGTATATTTAGAAAAATATTTTCTAATTTTTTATCACAAGCTTAACATATCCTATTCTTTTTAATTTTTTTTTCTAGATGTACATCCAGACAACAACTCTTACAGTGTCCTTAAGTTTAAGTGCTTCTGTCTCTTTGGGCATGCTCTACATCCCCAAGGTTTATATTATTATTTTTCATCCAGAACAAAACGTGCAAAAAAGAAAGAGGAGTTTCAAGGCTGTTGTCACTGCAGCCACAATGCAAAGCAAGCTGATCCAAAAGGGAAATGACAGACCAAATGGCGAGGTCAAAACGGAACTTTGTGAAAGTCTTGAAACCAACAGTAAGTCATCAGTAGACTTAACCATGGTCAAGAGTGGCAGCACTTCCTAATAGATGTACGTTCACAGGAATGCTTCATAAATCAATATTTTTCTATCTTGGCTTGCCATGCATGAACCAGACATGTGTCAAAATTCATGTGGTCATTTTGTTAAGAAGGTTTGAAAATGTGTCTATGAACTGATATATTTAATATCTGTGCATTATTTGTTACATAATTTAGCTTTGAGTAATAGGGTTGACTTAAGATTTCAGTATTACTTTAATTAATTAAACAAGTAGTCCCTGTTTAGCAGCCACCTCATTTAGCAATTTATTTGCAGATACAATGAACAGTAAAAAGTAACTTTACAACCAATCCTCCTATATAAGATCTTTACAAGTCTGTAAAGCAAAGGAAAGCTGAAGTAAGATAGCACAGTTATGGTTTCACTTAGCAATCACTTTGTTTAATGAATTGCCTGATGCTAAATGAGGACTCCATGTACTATTCATACAGCTAACTATTGCACCTACTGTATAAAAATATATTTACATATTGTTAAATATTATATCACTAATATATGTAATAATGGAAATTTGAAATTAATACTATATCCAGATAAATATCTTATTCATTCACTTTTTAAGTTTCTGATAACCTTCAATCTGTTATCTCCCAAATAATTCTTCTTTTACCTTATCAGATTTAAGGAATGCCATGGACAAAAGTAGGTACAGAAAGATATTTCATGTTGGTTTGATTTTCCTAATGACAAAGAGGAACTTTTATAAAGCAAAAAGGTTTATTAAGTGGGCAACAGCAATTCCATTTATAATATTTTACCATGTGTGTATGGAGTCATTTCATATGCAAATCATCAAAAAACTTGCCTACAACTTACATGGGAACGATAAAATTAAATTTACAAGTTAGCAGAATTTTATACAGCTAAATGACTAGAAATTGGATATTGCAAATCCATTTTGATAGCTTTAAAAGAATAAATTGTATATTATTTTATCTTCATTTATATATTTATTATACAAGCAAACATGCAAATACAAAAAGAATATAGGACTGGCCCTTGAATTTTGACACATCTCTAAACAATGTTTTCCTGTAGTCTAATGATTGCATCAAATGGCAGCATGTTGTCATGGCATGTTATACTAAATTTATACTCCTGTTATTTGTTTATATATTCTTATATGCTTAAAAGGGAAATTGATTTAAGCAAAGTTGACAAGCCTTATGCAAAAACTGAATTTCCTTATTAATACAGAAATCTCAATTTTGTGTTTCTCTTCCTCATGCAAGAAGTTTCTGTACCATATTTATTGAAACCATTCCAGGCTGTAGAGACAATTTTCATTTAGGCTGTTAAAAGATTTATAAAGCTTTTCTTGAACCAGAAACTACAGATTATGTGAATATTTGCTTCATTTCTTGGGTTTTGTGTCAAGTTGGAATTCTCACAACTGTCTTAACTTCACAAAAACTGATAAAACATACATTTTTTTAAAAAAAAACTACAGATTTCCAATAGCATGGTATCTACTTTAAACTTCCTTCAGGTTATTGAGCTCTCTCAAACAAATGGTGGGACTCAGAATTGTCACCATATTTTCAAAAGATATCCTTCTTTTTTCCCCTAAAATATTTTGTGGAAACCTTTTAGAGACATACTTACCATGTACATCTTCAAAGTCATTTTAAAAACTATCTATAATAGCACCTAGATTACTTTAAAGAAAATATTCCTTCTTGCTAACAGTTGGTGACCCTTAGCTCTCAAATTACTTTTCCAGTAACAGTTATGACACATTAATTTAAGTACAAGGACATCATTTCAGAATATGTCTTTGTTGCAGAGAAAAGAAGCAAGGCCTGATCCTGAAGCATACTATTTCACTGAGACTTCACTTACAAGTATGTAGCTTGTAATTTACTTGAACCAATAACAATAATAATCACAATATTTTCCCAATAGAGTATTCTTTGAAATTAATTTTAAAACTCTCATCTTTCTTTCATAAAATAGTTATTCAGACATAAGGTTTAAATTGTCTCCAGCATTCTTTCCTATTATATTACACATCTATAACTATTATATTATATAAATATAATTATTGTTGTTATTACAGGGTACTATCCTAGAATATCAACCAGAGATACATACACAACTGTGAACTATGGCTATATCAATTATTTGTGGCTGACAATCAGCCAATTATAGCAGATCCTTCCATATTTGTGAAGAATCTGTGAGCTAGAAATTTATGCTTGATGCCATTCTTCTTAGTATTGAGCCTACCATGATTCCAAGCATGGCATCAATACTGTAATCATTATGCCATCAATAGTATCTCTAAATATTTCTATGTGTTCTAAAAGCTTTTAAAGCTGAACTGGGAAAGAGCAACAGTTTGTAATCATGAATGCAATATTGGTCTGATCCATCAATGTTGAATTATAATTTGAAGTATGTGAAGGAATGAGCAAATCAGCAATAATGTCTATAACCATCAGGATCCTACATTCCATTCAGCCTCTAGTATATTTAAAGTTGTAGGTGTTGTTTTTAAAACATGGGGAACTCTGTTATTGAGCAAGGATAGATAACTCAATCAACTCAATCAATCAACCAACCAACAAGCCAATCAATCAATCAATCAATCAATCAATCAATCAATCAATCAGTCAATCAATCTCTCCCTCCAGCAGCAGAAATCTACTGGGGGATGCATCAAATGCAAAGGATTCTTGGGGATGAAACAAAAGTTGGCTACTTATATATAAGACCTGCCATTGTTTGTTTTTGTGGCATCCTAAGTGTTTCCTTTTCTTTCTTTATCCACCTTAGGTTGGATAGATAAAAGAGATAAATTAGAATAGATTGTAAAGGATTTCATAAGAATTAGTTAATAACCAGAGAAAAATAAAATTTAGATTTTCATGCATTCCATTTCTTGGGAATAAACCTCTATGAGAATAATAACATCTTCTCTGTCTAAAAACATAGGAGTGTGTTTGGGGAGAGGATAAAATAAAAGATGCCATAGCAATATTGTGATGGAAATCCCATTAGTTTATACTTATTTACCCTGATTATAAGCTTCCACTTATCCAGATTCATAATATCTGTTGGCAGAATTGTGAATGAAGATTAGAATTTTTTTTCTTAAAATGATGTCACTGCAATGAGAATGCAAGTTTGTCAGACCATTGGTAGTGAAACCTGAAACTATAAAAAGGAGAAGTCCTTGCTCACTCTCTTTGTATACACATGTAAAGACAGTCAACTCTATATAAACGCATGTCCTTATATAAGGATATATATGTAATTCACTTTATCTAAACAAATGGAACAAGTTATGCTTTCTTTTAGCAAAAGAAGAAGGTATTTCTTTTAATATACGCTACTTATTGAAATCTTAGTTGCAAATGCTTGACAGAAATACAGAAAAAATAACTATTTAGAAATATATATATAAATATATAAATCTATCAAAAACCACTGATCTCCGGGATACTAAAAACTTTTTAATAATTTAGCTTTCGTCAATCCACTGTTGACATCAACAGAGTATGAGCTAGTAGTAGAAAACACTCATTACTTTTATAGCTATGTGGATATTAATGATCTAATCATGGAGTGCGTAACCGGTATACCGGTCCACGTTCCCCCATAATTGGCTGCATCGATTGTGGTTTCACCATTGTAGCCGATATTCGCTTCAGATCTGGTGCTTTTCCCTCTCCCACCTGTCCCACCTGCTGGTCATGTCTATTCTGTGGTGCACAGCTGTTTGACGTTGTTGCCGGATCGCCCTTGTTGCTATTCTGTCCGACCATGCTGTCAGCCTGCCGTGCAGCCACGTCTGCCGATGAGCCTCCCATCGTGTGCCTTGCCCCAGTCATATTGTCCTGTTGTCCTTCTCTTGGTCCTGTGATGAGTTCTGTTCATGCTTCCATCTCCCCATCCGTTGTGACACCCTGCTGCTTCATGGGCAAACAACCCAGGTTTCCTGCACCTCTGTTCATCCAGCATGGAGGTGGTAAGAAATTCACTCACCAAAAAAAGGCCAAGGCATTCCAGCAAAAACCAGAGAACTTAAGAGTGTTGGACAATCAAAGGAGTGGTAACAAACTTGTACACAACCTATCATCCAAGACACTCACCAACAAGCAATCCTTAGTCCTACAATGGGACATTGGCTTCAACTTAATGGATGCAAAACCCATTGATTTTGCTGCGGCCTTAGAATCAACAATCCACCACATTGAGGCCAATGACGAGACTAAAAATTCCACCAGGCAGCGTGTAACAGGACTTCTCATTAACCACAGGCAAAAACACATTCTATCAGTATCAGAAATAATGACCCTTAAAGAACTACAGAAGGATAGCATAATTACCATCTTGCCAGCTGACAAAGGCAGGGTGACCATGGTTATGGACAAGCCTGACTATGATCGCAAGATCCACATCCTGCTGGATGATGAGAGTGCATTTTGGGTTGTTAACAAAGATCCGATGACGTCACTCAGAAATCAACTTAGCAAAATAGCAGATAGACTCAGGAGGCAAAATAAAATTCACAAGGATCATTTCAAAGCAATTCAACCCAGGGACTCATCCGTGGCATGGTTTTATGGCTTACCAAAGATTCACAAAGCAGAGGTCCCATTATGACCCATTGTGTTGTTCAGGGGCACCCCAAACTTTGGCCTGGCTAAATGGCTGAGTGGATGGCTCCTGCATCTGGTTGAAGACACCATGACCACAATAAAATCCTCAGAGGAGTTCCTAGAAAGGCTACAATCAGTAAGGGTGGAGGATGATGAAATTATGATATCTTTTGATTTGGCATCCTTATTCATCTCAATCCCTCAAGACCTGCCCGTTTCCGTGTTAAGGGGCCTATTACAGAATGAGGGGCCACGGCATGCCAACTTGCCCAGCATGGAAGACTTCATCCAATTGTTAAATCTTTGCCTCAAGACCTATTTCATATTTCATGACACCATATACGAACAAATAAAGTGCACGCCTATGAGGTTCCCATTTCAGAGGTCATTGCTGAAGCCATTCTGCAAGAACTAGAACGCAAAGCAATGGTCGACTATCAACCCAATTTTTGGGCCAGATATGTCGACGACACATTTGCCATCATCAAACACCATGACAGCACCAGGTTCATGAAGAAATTGAACTTGGTTTATTCGGACATTCAATTCATGGCGGAAGAGGAAACCATCAACACCTTGGCTTTCCTGGATGTGCTGATTAGTTGCGAACCCAATGGCACTGTTTCTACTGCTGTCTATCGTAAGGCCACACACATGGACTGGATTCTATATAATGAGAGCAATCACCCTATTGCACATAAGATTAAGTGCATCCGAACGTTGTTCAATAGGGTGAATACTCATTGCAGCACAAAGGCAGCAAAAATTAAGGAACTGGCATATCTCCATTGTATATGCAGACAGAATGGGTACTCAATGGGCTTTATTCGATGTTGTTGTAAATGTCAGGAACTACCATTGATCCATGATAGACCAATGACCGGTGCTTGGGTCACCCTCCCCTACATCAATGGTGTATTGTAAACAACTGCACAGATACTTGCGGATCATTTTATTAGTGTGGCACACACACACAGCCAGACTCTGCACACGAGAATAATGCACCCAAAGGAACCACTATCCAAAGGTGACATGTCATCTGTAATCTATAGAATCAGTTGCAACAACTGTCATTGCAATTACATTGGAGAAATGGCAAAACGCGTCCGCACTAGAGTGCATGAGCATGAACTAGCGGTTAAATGGCATGAACAGTATTCCCAGGTATGGGTGCATATGGCTCAGAGGGACATACATTCAATTTTACTGCGACTGAGATCATCACCCAGGATTTCATGAAAGGTGTCTGGTTATTAAAAGAAGCATGGCTGTCTGATCGATACTCCATCAATTGACACATGGAACTGCTTCCAGCATATCAAACATTGAGAAGACATGAACAGCGGCACAGAGGATCGGGTCAGGCAAATTTCTTACCACCTCCATGCCAGGTGAACAGAGGCACGGGAGACCTGGGTTGTTTGCCTGTGAAGCAGCAAGGTGTCACAACGGATGGTGAGATGGAAGCATGAACAGAACTCATCACAGGACCAAGAGAAGGACCAACAGGACAACATGACCAGGGCAAGGCACACGATGGGAGGATCATCAGCAGACATGGCTGCACGGCAGGCTGACAGCACAGCCGGACAGAATAGCAACAGGGGTGATCCAGCAACAACGCTGAACAGCTGCGCATCACAGGATAGACATGCCCAGCAGGCAGGGTGGGCAGGGGAGGGAAAAGCACCAGATCTGAAGCGGATACTGGCTAGGATGGCAAAACCACGATTGATGCAGCCAATTATGGGAGAATGTGGGGCGGGTAGACCGGTTACGTACTCCATGACTAGATTGTTAATATCCGCATAGCTATAATGAGTGTTTCCTGCTACTAGCTCATACTCTGTTGATGTCAACAGTGGATTGACGAAAGCTAAGTTATTAAAAAGGTTTTACTATTCCGGAGATCAGTGGTTTTTGGTAGATTTTAAAATGAATATACCTGGGATTCAAGTTTTTAAAATGATTAAGGATATATATACCTAAGAGAAAATTAATGGAAACAAGAAATAAGTGGAAATTGGAGAATACTGATTATTTTTTATATTATTTTTAAATTGTAAAATACTGTTCACAAGAATATAGATAAATTTTGTATGTAAATTCCACTGTTAATTTAGGCTTCTTATTCAACTAAGGAGGCACAGATTAAATTATAGGGGCTGTTATAACTTCAGCATGTTTAAAATCATGATATAGTTATGGTCCTGGTTGCCAAAAGTCATAAAATTTGT